TTTTGCCGAATGACACTGACCCTAAAATATAGACGTATTTACGTCAATAAACCTTCTTATTCCATAAAAGACAAGAAATTTATCTGCAGCCTATCTGAGAAATGAAACAGCAGTAAAATTGGAGTAAACTGTTGACAATAAAATTCCTATATTATCACATTTTTATAATAAATAATACTCATCTATCTAATCGCTATCGCATGAACAGCATACAACGAATCTATTTAAAATAAAATTTCATACACAAGAGAAGAATATAAAGTCGACTGTCATCTCTAATGTTTTGTCATGTAATCCTGTAAAAATTTACATACGATTTAAAATCTATAATCACCCTGATGATGGAGTCAGAAATAACCACCGAAACGTCGATCAACTTCTACTAGACTGCGCGTCGCAACATTCGAGAAGATATTCACCTTCAAATCGAGTCATGTAGGCCCAGTCTTTGCGAACCATAAACCGGAATGAAGGCAATCAGAGCTGGAAAGGCCAACTATTATAAATTTCAAACAGAACTACACCTTCACCCCGTACAGTAACAAGTCTTGAAAGTGTCTACTTGAGGCCGCGGGTAGACAAAACATCGGGGCAACGAGCAGTCCGTCACGTAGTAGCAAGTTCCATGTCATCGTGCTCGTAAACTGGACGCTGGTACTAAGAAAAAACGAACGATAAACTTCAAGCGACTCGGATATGATACAAAATAAAAACAACTGAAAGCTTTAAACAACAATAAAATAATACTGACTATTTATCTGAATTAAAGAATAATACAGAACTACGAGGTGCGATCGGAAAGTTTCTAGACTGCGCCTATAAAAACCCGTACACTTATCTCAGGTATTAAATTCATCCATCACCCTCGAAGTAGTTCCCCTGGGAGTGAACACAACGATCCCAGCGCCGCTGCCAAGCCTGGAAGCATCCCTGGAAATCTTTCTTTGTCAGCCTGTCAAGCACCATCTGCGATTCTGCCTGAATCTCTTCTATCGTCTCAAATCTCATTCCCTTTAGCTGAATTTTCATCTTTGAGAAGAGGAAACCTTAGAAAGGAAGTTGGGGTCGGTTCTTGCAAGATCTTTGAGCTCCTGACAAACGAGAAGTCGATTCTGCTTCTGGTCCTCAGACAGGATGCGTCGCATGTGGAGTTCTTCCTTTAGAATCAGCTATTGACACAGTCTTGAAACTTTCCGATCGCACCTCGTATTGAACAAGACAACGAACCTTCTACTTAAATATAACACAGTTCATCTT